CTTTTTATTTAAGTAGTTATACGGCATTTGAGATCATATTAACGGCGCTAACCGTAACCTGCGGTAAGGGTATTCGCATGCGCACGCGTCTATATGTAAATCCTGAAGCGGCCTTCGCTGTTGATTGCTCACGCCAATTGGTATCGAAAGAAATGTGTGCAGCTCCAATAGCCGAATGCAAGTAAGGATCACAATTAAATACCTTATATTTGTCTATTGAATTTAATTAATAAATATTTATAATCCGTCTAGCGGTCAACCACAAGACGATGACGACGAAGGCGAGAACTTGGCACGAGCCGCGTCGCTGGTAACTGATGACGGTGAAGGCGCAGGCGTATGTAAGACCACACCTTGGAGCGTTTGGTCCGAATGTTCGGCTAGTTGCGGTATTGGCATAACGATGCGCACGCGTACTTTTCTCAATCACCTCGGTCGTAAACGCTGCCCACATATTACCATAGTTGAAAAACAAAAGTGTATGCGTCCCGATTGCACCTTTGAAGAGGTGGAATTACCCGATCCCATGTGCCCTACCACGCAATGGAGTGATTGGAGCCCCTGCACGGCCACATGTGGACGCGGTGTTACAATACGTACACGTCTCCTTCTATTGGAGAATGGCGCGGTCAAGGATAACTGTACAAAACGCATGGAATTAAATCAGCAAAAGGAATGCACTGTGCCACAAGAGTGCACCATTAACATGGAGATGGCCAAAGGTCTGTTACTATTCTATCTAACCATTTGTAACGCAACAAAATATTTGTTTTTAGAAATTTGTGTCGAGTCCTATGACAGTGGTCCATGTCGTGGCGTATACAAACGTTATGCTTACAATATGGAGTATGGACGTTGTGAAAGTTTCACTTATGGTGGCTGTCGTGGCAATCGCAATAATTTCCTTACCGAAAGCGATTGCTTGAATACCTGCAGCATGTTGCGTAAGCACTTAAGAACATCAAAGATACTGGTAATTGCTGTGTAACTCATCCCATTCTTTTTCATCTCAACAGGCACCGCAGCCTTTACCAATTCTCGAGCACCGTCCCGGCTATCTTATCCTGAAGCATATCAAGCTGCAGATTATGGTGCCGTAGATTGCGTTATGTCCGAGTGGTCTAATTGGTCTCAATGCAGCGTTAGCTGTGGCACGGGATACTCTAATCGGAGTAGATACGTAATAACTGAACCGAAGAACGGCGGCCAGCCGTGTCCTAAGCGCAAGGTGAAAGTACGCCGTTGCATAATGGCTGATTGTTGAAAGCTATTTCATTAGGAACTTAAAGTATAAGTAAACTGTAATTCAGAAAATCTAAAATTTGGGGAAAAGTACTTTATTCACACCTGTACTAATTGTAACAAGCAATTTAAATGGAAAATCATTTTTCGTTTTCTATCAGTTACATATATAAAATTAAAAAAATTAAAATAATTTTTCACTTAACTAGCTTTCGTGAAATTGGCTGTTAGTGCCTGAAAATAAATAACTTTAAATAAAATTATGTTCGCGAGCTCATAATATTAGGACCAGTCTTTTATTTAGTACACCACTACATATTAAGTTTCAAAGCCAAGGTGGAGAATGAAGGAATCTCATTCCAAAGATCAAATACAATGCACTCCAAGGAATACGATCATTCTGGATTAACCGTTTTTTGCGATGAATGTTGAGACAGCTAGTGCGTAGTACAGGTTGATAAGCTCTTTTGAACAACCGTTATCTCTGCTTGTGCTATAAAGGTTCCGGCTTTTTGCTAGCATCTCCGCCGCTTTGTTAGAAGCCACATACTAAGAGGCTGTTGGTCTGTTCATCTCTCTTCTAGGCGGTGGCGTCGCTCTCTAATTCTCTTTTTTT